AAGCCTATTTATACATTGAATTCATCATTTCACTCTTGAGTTTATACAACCACATATCTGGAAAACATATTAAATCCATTGAATTTGAAATACCACCTACTTCCTATTGGTATAGGAAGGTACTCTCTCAGTTGAACTCCAGAGATTGTTGGAGGTTGAGAGAGGTTGGACGACAAGCGTATGAAGAGTACAAGGTCTTGGAGCAGATTCTTGGGATTCCACTAGGAAGAGACAATTGCAGAATATCTTGGAGTAGGCCTTGGAGTTAACAGGAAATAGATCGGGAAGTCTAGTGGAGTTGGCTAAATAGCATCTGACTGTAACTCACTCCGTATTGTCTATAGTGGAGGTAACTTGCTTGGTCCCAGAGTTTTTACCCAATGGGGGATATCGGTGTTTATTATTGCTTTCCTTATTACTTCAAACATATGATAATTTGACTTCTATGCTTAATCATCTAGGAACAATTAAAAGTGATTTGTTGCTTTTGATTGATTAATTCCACACATAGGGTCAAAACTAAAAACAGTTAAGTAACAACCATTTCGTAACTTAAAAATTGTTAAGTTCGTAATCCAGAATTGTTAGGTGGTTACCAGTGCGACACCCGAGATTTTCTCCGATTTTTCTCCATGTGATATAAGAGTAGTTTGAAGTGATATAGCCAGTAGAGAAACCACACTTGTTCTACCATTTGTCGTTTGACTAGAATTAGTCCCAACGATATCCATTTCTAATTTTCTATTACGAAAATAGAAGTTTATCACAACCAAAGTTGAAGAATAGATAGCAACGTATTTTCTATTCCAAAAGATGAAGAGATCAAAATATAACAAGCAAAACGACAAAAAATAGTCCTAAACTTGTTGGTGTAAATGTTTGTGAATTGAAAATTATATTTTGAAAACCAAAGTAAAACAAAAGAAAACTTAGAATTACAAACCGGCAGAAAATGATGAAATGAACAATTGAATTATACCCAGACTAGTGTTAAACAATATCTTTAAGACGAATTTGTCCCACCAAAGTGTTTACAAAATTTTGACAATTATCTCCCAAGATAAAACGAGTTCTCCTTGCAGTAGAAGCACTTCAAACTTCAAAGAATCAACGAACTCTCTACTTGAATGGATTTTTGATGTAAGAAAACTATAATGTTGGAGTGTTTTTATACAGTATAATCAAAACATATGAATTGGAATGAATTTGTCTCACAAGGGTATCCAATTTATAGAGGTTGAGGGGTTGTGGCCGCGAAGACACGCACCAAAATTCAGAATATTTCACCAAGAGACACAACCCTTCAGACTCTCGTTGGCCGCCGATCCACCGTCAAGCGTTTTTTTCAAAAAGTTGGCCGCTCGCTATGCGCAAGGCAACCCCTCGAGCGGTCAGTTTATATAGGTAGCTTCCCATTTTTTCAACCTCATTTTGGACATCAATTTCTCATTCACCCGAAATTGGTATTGTGAATCCAAATATATCTCAATCATCTACTCGAGTAGAACAAGTTAGTCTATCCATGTGTGTGAATTGATTATCGGAACCTATCCGATACTTGGCCGAATTTGATACAAATTCAACGTTTTATGAACCATTTTCCAACAAGTTTAGCGGGCCAACGTCGAATCTAAAGTGGGTATCTCTAGAGAGGCGACAAATTATGTAACATTATTTAGCTTTAGTAATTATACAAGTCACAAAAATACTTTAATAACCAATCTGAAAATTTCACTAGAACTTCAATGACCATTTATGAAGTTAACTCTAAAGAGAAATAACAAATTATCCTTTGCAGCCCGCAAATATTATGAATTCTATCAAATTGCACAATGTCCTAAAAGGCTTGGTTCCTCTAGTTACCAGAATTGGGGACCAAAACCCGCTGTCATCCTCCAATCATAGCACCAACCTACTGATTTGGGACAAAGTGATTGCTCTTCTGGACAGTTTTTTCTTTGTTGCAAATTGCGATTGCCACTTAATTTGAAGGGGACATGCTCATTATCTGGAATTCATCATCTCAACTGCCAAGTGAGGACAATTCATTGTGACACATTCTTACATTTTATTCTATATTCTTTGCATTAGGTATACAAAAGTATGACCTGTTAACTTTTATCTATATCCAAAAGAAATAACATGATCTGTCATAATATCATAGTTGTGTATACAAGTGGAGAATTGGCCAGCATTCCATATATCAAAAGCATGTTTAACAATTAATTTTAATCACATTTTTAATAAATTTACAATTTTTATCAACTTTTTAGAAATACATTTCATCAACCTTTATCAAATTCTGTTAAAACTTTTATCAAAAGCCAATCCTTAATTTTTATGGGCATGCATAAAATTTTTTTTTTCCCTCTTAATGCTCTTCTGACTAGATATCTAATACCTACATTAAGAAAGAGTATTGGATCTCATGAAGACATTTAAAAGATGCAGTTGACTCACAATGCAATCAGCCCAATCTTCGGCCAATGGTAAAAAGGAAGAAAGATGTCAGATCACAAATGACATGTGGAGCTTCTTGCTTACTCTTCCGAATTGAATGATCGCTTAACATAGAGCTCAGGAGAGCCCTTACTCCATCTCACTCAATGTAATACTATTTTTTTTTACCAGGAAACCTCTACCTACACAAACTCGATTAGGAGGTAGGGAGGATGAAGTACAATAGTCATTGATGAGAGAAATTTCCTAATTTACGTGTGAGAGCAAAGAGGTGACTAGTCAAGTTTCTGGACAGATGTTTGAGGAAGAATGTATTCATTGTTAGTTTGACATCATTATGTCTTTTGGAGTTATTTTGAAATGAGCAATACTGCTCATCCAGGGCTAAAACCAGGCCCAAATCCAGGGGGCCGAGGTGGATGCACCTCGGCCCTTGATTTGAATTCATGTGGGGCCTTTTTTTTTTTCAAATCAGGGGTTGATGTGATGACACCTCAGCCCCTTGGATTCTGGTCGGTCATTGACCCTGACCGACCAGCATTAATGTTTTGAAATATACCAATTAAATTGAACACTGGTTGACCCTATTTTATGACGGGATTGGTCGAAACGAATAGTACTTGTGTTGAAGCTTGGGCCCATATGAGTGATAAAAAATTTCAATTATATATCTCTATCAGCTATATCTTTTGATTAAGAGTTGAGATAATTGAAATTCCTATTCAAATTTATAGTTTTTCTTAGATAAAATCCGAATCATGGGCGGACCTAAGGGGTCCTGGGGGGCAAGTGCCCCCCAACTTTTGAGATTTTTTTTTTTACAAAATCGTGCTTGGTATCGATTGAAATCTAAATTTTAATCTAAATCAAAGTTAACAATTAATTTTAATAACATATTTCATGGAATCCACAACGGTTTAACTTTTATTAAAATTTACTAAAAATTTGATTTTAATCTCAAACAAACATGAGTAAAATCACAATAAATTTGAATTTCGATAACATGCTAATTTTAAAAATTCTCTGACGATCGTACGCTAATCAAATTTATAAATTGTTTATGTTATCTCAAAACTTATTTTGAGAACTACATTATGGGCATATCGAATAGTTCAAATAGATATCGAAAATAGTTAAAAATACCTTAAATGTGAGTCTTTAAAAAAACGCATAACTCGCATTTTTTGCAGATATTGGAAATAGTTAAAAATATGTTAAACGTGAGTTTTAAAGAAAGACGTTTAACTCGCATTTTTTTTAAAAAAATTCAATTATTTCATTAACATTTATTATTTTTGCAATACAAATTTCTCAATGTAATTTTCATCATTTTATTAGAAAATTTTATGTGGAGTATGATATCAAAAAATTTCGAAATTTTACATCCGAAAAAGTCATATCCCATGTAAATTTTCGGATGTAAAATTACATGGGGTGTGATTTTTTTGACATAAATTTTCGATTGTAAAATTTCTCCCAACTTTTTTTCAAGTTCGATTGTGCCGGGGGTCTGCGTCTGCCTCTGATCCGAATCAAAAGATTCTAGTCTCTACAAATAGAAGAGATTTTAATCTCACAACAAAAATTGCACTTGAGCTTAGTCCGAACTTTACTAATTGTCTTTTGTATTCTTTATTTTCACTAAAACATTCTTCGAGGAAGTTTACACAACCAAGTTAAAATTCAAATTCATACTATTGGCTATAATGCACCCCTGCCTACATATTAGGTGACATTTTTCACAAATTTTACGATTCCATCCATAAATCTATTTTTCTTCCCATCTACATTCAGAAAGCCGTATGCTTTGTGTTTCTTTGAGGATCCAAATTCGGTTTAGATTGACTCTTCGGTTTTTGTTATATGTCGTCTTTTAAACCCTCAAGATTTGTTTGTAGCAAGGACAATTCTTGAAGGAGGCAAGCATTAGAATTCTAACTGCATCAACTGAAGAACAAGAAACAACGAATTTTTATTTTTTTGGTCGGTTCAAGAGCATCTGGGATCAAGTTATGATCGTGGAATGATGCAACTTGCAAGATCAGTCAAAACTTTGTGCAAACATGAAAACATTGACTTGTTTCAACTCCGCATGTTAACATTGAAGAACTTGACATTCTTTTACAAAATCGGGATATAAACATTGAACCATGCAACTTATATGATCTGATCACTGCTCTAGTTTGTTTTAGACCATATTTAACTTACACAAAGCTTTTCAACACTAGAAGGAATGACCTAGAGATTGAAAACTATCACATTTCACGAGACAAATTTGAACTTTAAATCTGTTGTAAATGAACCCTGCAATAGCACGCCTCGAAAAAAAGGCCTATAAGAACACACCAGCAGCAGCTCTTGAATATGTCTATAAATGAATGTAGAATATATTTACATGTTTGGGTACATAAAAACAGAATGGATACACTCTCCTACATCACTGCCTTTGTACTGAGACAGTACTGAAATACGTGCATGTAAGTAAACATATATATGCCTGCATCGTGTACAAAAAATGTTGTCGACTACTATGCACTAGCCTACAGCTTCTGTGTTTCCTTACTTCTTTCCTCATCAGGCAGCAGATCTCCTTTGGACAAATCTGTAAAACAGAGCAAATATAAAAATCGGAATAGTGTTTAGCATGTTGGACTGGACGAAAAAAGGTTCACAAGTCTATGTCCAGTTATATCCAAAAATACGGAATTTACCTGAAACCTGGCTCTTGGAAAATTGAATTTGATTAAGGGAAAAATGGGGGATTGATATTTGTTTTTGTCTTGGCTTTACTCTTCCACCTTGAAGTAATTTATGATATCTTGGATATCCATTCTTGCATGCTGAGACCTGTAGCCATATGACATCAGGTTAGACATTAGACATAAAATAACATTTAGGACAGTCAAGTTGTATTGAATAATTGAGCAAATATGGAAAAGTCTAAGGTCTTGTTTGTTTCGGATTAAAATCAAATTTTAATTTAAGTCAAAATCAAACAATCAATATTAACTACATTTTTTTATGGGTCCCATAGCTTTTTAACCACACATTTCAAAAATTTCTATCACAATATACTAAAAATCTAATTTTAATTCTCACCAAATACCCACTAAAACTTCACTAAAATAATTTGATGAAGTAAATCATTTGTTCATTTTGTCAACTTGGGGAAATTCCCAACTTTTATTTGTTCAGTTTAGTACAAAAACAGGTCTTTAGCCTTCAGGGGTAAATGGGCTACTGTATTCAACAAATGGAACTCGGTGGAGAACCACAAAAATTGTCAAACCAGTGGAACAATTCTTCGTCTTCTATATGCAGCTTAAGTGGACCCCACCGTACAAATTAATTTCCAACCTCATATTAGTTGAAAGTTAAAAGAATAATAATTTGGTTGACATTCGCAGTAAGTTTAACGTTGCGAAAGCGTAAATAAAGGTGCAAGAGGGAGGGTAAATGTGGCAAGGGCAATAATCAATTGACAATTATAGAAAATCAACTAAATGACCATAAAGCCATTCCTCATCTTCTAATTTCTAGTTGCACAAAGAAAGAGATGGATAGACTTACAGCTTCAATGTCAATTTTATAAACAAGAAGCTTTCTTCTCTCTCTGCAACTTTTCCTATACGCCACGACTACATGCCCAATTGCCAACCCAAATGAACACACGAACAAGGCCACTTCCACGCCTCCCGAGTATCCGCGTCTAAAAACGTACGCAGCCTTTAATGACACGAACACCAGAGATAACACCGAACATATAGTGGCAATTCCTAAATATGGCCCCCTTGATAGCCTCGGGCCGTCGCAAAAACTATAAACACCTATAAAATACAATACAATAAAAAAATTCTTAGAAAAGAGAGAAAGAAGAAAATGGGTTGTTATAGTTAGTACTTACATAATATAATGGCTGATCTAATGATGGATACGAGAGGGATATCGATTAGTGAGGATCGAAAGTCATAGTTGTTGAGATGAGAAGAAAGAGCTTGTAAATTGAGGGAAAGAGAAGCCGATAATAGAGCCGTAGGAAGAAGGGCATCGGCGATTACTAGAAGAATGGGTGCAGAGAATAAGAGAAGAGAAATTAACATAGTGATTAAGAAGCAAATGGTTTTGATCCATCTTACAAATCTCTTTCTTCTCTCTTCTTTAGAGAATCCCATAATTTTGATTAGAGATCGAGAATGATGGATTGGCTTAAAAGAGATGGGGAAGGTGCAAAATAGAGTGAAGGTTCTGTGCTTTGACTGGATATAGGAATAGGTCAAATTGGGAAGGCTGGGGTTAATTTAATTTTTCGTCACTCAACTTCGATTCTTTGTTCCCTCAATTTGGGTAAATAATCATGTTTTCAGAACAAAATCTTGAAATATAGATGTCCTAACCTGCTAGACAAATAGGGCAACTTGCCCAACCATTGTCGTACTATGATTATGATCAATTTCTTATTTTTTCAATTTGTGGATATAATTAGATTCGTATGATGTTTATATTATTCGTAATTGTATAGAATTTTTAGATTTGTCGTGATGAATAGAGCTTAATATCGAATTAATTATGGTTCATTTTTAAATTTTACAATCATAACTAGACACAAGAAATGTCTTATTATTTTAAATATTTTGCGTTATAATGTTACAGAGTGACTAGCCTTGAAATAAATAAAAATTTAGTGATTTATTAAGACGAATTAAAATTAGATGGCTCAATTGATCAAAAAAGAAGTTAACAAAGAAGGCTGCTATGTTTTTCTCTCTCTGAAATTCTCTCTTTCATGTGTTGACTAACTGCAACCAATTATTAATTAATTAATTAATTAATCAATTAACATTGTTTATTTACGTCCAGATTAATTTGGTTTTATTCACCCACAAAAGTTAATGAATTTACGAATTTTAGGTGTGGTTTAATCGGTGAAAGTTTCTCTCCCACTTCTCCGGCCAACAAATATTGGAATATTTCATATTTGTGAAATAGGATGAGAAATTTCCTAAGGTAAATTATAGGAAAGGTTTTTTTGTTTTTTCCTTCTCTCTCTTTTTCTTGCTATATTCAATTATGGGAAATGATTTGCTAATTATTAGAGGAAAAATGAATAATAGCTTTCATTATTGGAATGGATTTTCTAATCAATTTTGATGTCAATGTATTTTTAGATACTTCGGTACAATAAACATTGTCGTCTTCCTATTTACTAAAAAGAGGTCATGCACCAAGGTGTACACCAAGGTGTAAAAAATGTATTGGAAATAGAGGTGTCAATCCGGGTGATTCGGGCCAGGTCGGCCAGCCGACATATGAGCCCAGTAACGACCTGCGTGAAAAAAAGCTCGTCCGCTACAGGTTCTGAACGGTTCCAGGTCGACCCACAAATTTTGGACTACAATCCAAGTCTGCCCGTTGACCCATTCGAGTCAAGCCCGTGTGGGTCACGGGTAGCAGTTTGTTCCGATTTGACCCGTATAATTGTATAAATAAAATTATAAAAATATAGAATTTTTCATATTTATAGTAAAAAAATATTTTTTTTAGTAATTGTAAACTAAGAATTGAACAAAATGATAAATTTATATTTATACCAAGAAATGTTTGCATAGAATTCAAATTTAATGTTACGTGAATTATTTATAACTTTACAAAGTTAAATTTAATTTAAACAAATAACAACTAAATACATTTCTAATTACTATTATCAAATATTTATAGTATAAATACATCCCAATTAGGTTGGCACATACTTTTTTTCAAAAAATTTTAATTTTTTTTCACGGGACAGCAGGTTAACAACGGCCCGTGAAGGTGCAACCCGCGAAACTCGTAGGTCACACCTCCTTGACCCGTGAACCGCACGCTCTGATCACAGGTCGGCCCGCGGTCCCGGGTCGATCCGGGCCTATTTTCACGGGTCTGGTAGGCCCGTCCGTCTTGACACCTCTAATTGGAAACAACAATTCGAGAAACCAAAGTTCAACTTCATAATAGTTTATGCTTTTAACATTGTTATGGTAATTTTAATTTTATCTATATGTAAAACTTTCAAATTACCATCTTAGATTATAATTTTTTCTAAAGTGTGTTGGAAATTTTTAAATAAGTCAGTTCAAATTCTTGATATATTTTGTAAATTAATAAGTTTTTTATGCCTACCTTATTAGTATTGATGAGTGAATTGTAAATTAAAGCAATATGTGTCTCATAGAATTGATCTCCCACCCTCAATGGATAGGATAAAAACTTCTTAGTATTAATGTGGTAAGGAGAACCGTAAGTATGGTTATCTGAATATATGACTGTTGCAGAGAACTTGCCATGTTAGTAGTGTGAAATTTTTACCATATCCAATGTGGGTAAGAAATCAGATCTAATGAGTCTTAATTAATAGAGTAAAATAATTCTACTTAATATGGGGTTGTAACTTGTAAGAGGCAATAATGAAGAATAATCTAGATTGTAAGTAGAAAACTCTATTGTCTAAATACCCCATGATTCATAATAACATCCTTTGAGTTCACTTATTTGTGGGTTAATTATGTACGGAATTATTTTAATTGTGATTATCTGTGTGAGGTGGATCACTTAAATTCACTGACACGTGATTATTTGTCTTGAGCACTTTGAAATGATTGTGCTAGTTTATGTGCATTGTGAACCATAGACTAAATCTAATTGTAGTCAATTACCTAAATACCTAATAGTCATATCTTTTTCATAGTACAATATTTGAATTGGAATTAGAATTCAAATGGTTCTTTTGGCTTTAAAATTACAAGTCTCATTTACTTATTTTCACTTGGACTTGTCATAACAAGAGAGAGAAAGCATAGAGAGATAACCAAGTGAGAGAAGTTCATATCTTCGGCGAAATTCTTGGTGGCTTCCGGCGGATTTATTTAACAGTACATCAATTGTCATTTTCGTGGACGATGGTGCATGATCTGGAGTGGCAAAAATTTGAGCTCAAAGTCATATGACACTCCATTAGTGGTGTTGAAGAAGTTTTGAGTTTATGAGTTCAATTTTTACACTAAAAATTTATGCTTCCTCATTATAGTTGTAATAATTATTTATTCACTATATTTTAAACTCTATAATCTGTTTACACGGTATCACTTTCCTTAAAGAAAGGAAAAATTATCCAATTATAGATGATCATGGTGTGTGGTACATGGATTGGTTAGAATATTTGAAATTTTGTGATTATACCAGGGTGGAACCAACCCCAAACAATCATGTGCCCACATGCAAAATTTTGTCCTTCCGAATATTTTCCTTAATTTTCTGATTATTGTAAAATATTATTTTTTATAAATAGATTAGATTACGGAAAATATTTCTAGATGGAGGCTTGTAGATTGTAGCACGTGTTTCATATTTTGAAATTATACGAATTTTGACTCATATAAACGTGATCACTATTGGAGGAATCTCACTTCCATGTTTACAAATCATTGTTCATACGAATTTTTTTGGACTAAAAACAACATCATTTCGTACCAATACGACGTCGTCTTGTGCCTGTCTATTAATGTTTTGATTTTATATAAATTTTATTTGGAACTCGTTTGTTCTTTTTTTAAAATCTTGGACTACAATTGTAGTTTTTTTTCTTTTTGTTTTATTTAAATAGAATAGAGTACACTTTTACCTAATTTATTATTATTATTATTATTATTAAAAGCAAAACAAATCATAATTTTGAATAGAGCTCACTTTTTACCTAAATTGTTTCTCACAATATTGAAGTTAATTTAGTGGGGTTAATTCAACAAACGGTCACTGAAGTTACCTAAAAATCACGAAACGGTCACTGAAGTTTAAAACTTGCAGCGACGGTCACTTAAGTTTCAGGTTCTTTCAAAAATGGTCACTCAACTAACTTTTCGGGCTGTTATGATGTTGTTTAAAACTTAAGGACAAAAAAAAGTGAATGTAGAAGCTTGAGGACCCTCCAATTGCAAAATCCGGCAAGTTGGGCCCAAATCCAAAATTTTTTGTAAAATCACCATAAAAAAGGGACTTCTTTGCAGTATTGACTGTAGTGATATACCAATTAGTTTGATAATTATTTTCCTAATCGTGAGTTGATGGGATTAATCATTTTCTGCATCTTAATCTCAAAAAAAGACACTCCTAAAGAAAAATAATACAATTTCTCGATGAGAAAAAATTAAAAATAATGAAGCAAATCTTGTACATTTCATAATTATGCACAATCCAACGGTGTACATTTTATAACATACAACGACTCACAATATTCCACATTTCACCAAAAAATAGAGTTCGTTGACAAAAAAAAACATATAATAGACTTCGACCGGCGTCACAGTTGACCAAAAAATAGTCCATTGACAAAAAAAGAAACATATATTAGACTTCAACCGGCGTCACATTTCCTCAAAAAATAGAGTTGGTTGACAAAAAAGACATATATTAGACTTCAACCAAAAATCATTTCATCATCAGGTTGTTCCATGCTTCGCTAAGAGTTGGTTCAACATTTGCTCTTGCAGCTTCCCATGCCCTCGGACCATTTATGTCCTCCTACAATTTATGAAAAATGACGTCAACCAACATAATAAATAAAACAAAAACAGGCTATACATATATGACTATGACTTAGTATATACCTCATTTGTTGTGTAGCTTGCCTGCGAAGCATGGTTCAAGTGGTATCTTTTATTGTGCCCCTTTTGACTGCAAATACTACATTTCATTCTCTTCTTGCCATCACCTCTCCTATCAATCTTCTTCATCTTCTCTTTGGACAATATATCTTCCTCAACCCCTCTTCGGCGCTTTGTTTGCTTTCTACCTCTTTTTTTGGTTACCTAATTCGGGGGTTTAACTTGGTCGAAGCCACTTGCAGGCCACATTTTTGGTCCATTTATAAGGTATATGCAATTCCCATAAGCTTTTAAGTAAGTTTCAACTTTGTAGCTCTCGTCCACAAACTGCAAAGGATCCTTACCCCACTCACGGATGCCGGCTATTGCGTGTGGACAAGGCACACCAGTTAGATCCCACTTTCTACATGAGCATGTCCTCCTTTGTAAATCTACCACAAATTGACTGTCAGAATACGGTCCAGAAA